TCTCCTGGAGGACTTCATCTTTCAGGTTTTATTGATGAAACCTCTGACTGGCTGGACCTCTCTTCCATCCTACTGAACGAAATTCTGGGTTCTCAGACGCAGTACATAGTACAAATTACAAGAACAAAGACATCTCAATGCCACTGAAAAAAAAGAAACAGACTTTTCTTAAAGAAAAAGATAAGTCAAAACAAAAAGACAATTTTTGGTGCTATGGGCAGTTATTACTACTAATTATTACCGTTTTATCTGGTTGATCTCCAAAAGGAACTTACATGTAAACCTATTTAAGCAGCAGAGAGTTTTACTGGAGGGATTATCTGTGCTGTTTCTGCAGTCTTCCCAATACTTGCTCATCAGGACTGCTTTAGAAGGCACGGATCTAGGTTTCAAAATAAGATGAGTATTACTCATTTATTTGGCTGAGGCTTTCATACAGAGCAATCTCTAGCTGTGCTCATTTATACAGCTGGGCATTTCTCCCAGAACAATTCAACTGAAGGACTTTGCTCAAGGATACAACAGCCATAACCTTCCAGTAACGAGTCCAGGACTGTACCCACTGCTCCACACTGCTGCTATATTGGGGCGACAGACAGACAGGCAGCTGAAGAGCAGGTTGTGCGAGTCTTTATAACTCAACAAGATCACAGAATACTGTTTGCATGGCTGGGGTCTAGCCGTCTGGGGTGACTAAATTCTCTGTCTGTCGAGCGGCTAGCAAGCGTGAAGCATGAGGTTAGCTGGCGAGTGTGAAATGGAAGGTTATCTGACTGCCTGAAACCAAATCAAAAAGGACTGAAAGCACCCTGAAGGCAAAAACACGCAGGAAACAGGCGCACGACTCTTCCTCACACAAATCAAGTTCACAAAGAGATGGCTGGGCTGTGCGAACTTTCGGCATAATTCTAAAGAATTCATTCCTTTGGTTTCACCGGAAGGCCTCGTGAGGTGACTTGTCTCGCCATACGGTTGGGTGGGATCAAGTGGGGCCCTGGCTGTCTCCCCACCCACGTGCCCTCTCTCTTGTGGCTCACAGCCTGAGAGAGCGGGCTGCCCCCCCCGGTGGCCTGCCTCCCTGCCTCCTGTGAGGACGCGTCATCACCACTGCCTGGCGTTCGAGAGGCTCCATCAACCACAGGAGCGGAAAGTGACAGACGAGAAGAAAGTTTCTGTTTCCCTGTCTGCTCGTTTAGGAGAAGGGGGGTGGGCTGGTTCTTCCGTGACAGACTGAAGAGGAAGCGATCTGCATATTTTCTGACCATCCTGTCCCGTGAGCCTTTAGCCCCCCTAAGCTCAGAGAAGAGACCAGCCAGATCATTAGGTGACGGACCTACATTTCATTTTAATGTCTGGTTCGGTAACGACTATATATCTTCAAATGTTAAAAGCGTTTAACCTTTTCTGTTTCAACCACAGGATTTTCAGATTTTCCATCCTCCCACACCAGCGGTTTTGTTATTCAGCAGCTGTATGTTCATGTCAAAGAGTTCAAAACATTCATCATAACAAATAGCTACATTGATCAGTCCCTGGTCACACATTCACAGCACGGCGCGATATGTTATATGTTAAGATGTTACAGTATATAGCACATGACTGTGTTCATAATATATTGATTTTATATTGAATTTACATGATATTCTAATTCAACCTTGATTGGTCTTACCATGCAGAGGATTTTGAAATCAAAGAATGGAACAGAATTCAAAATATGGACTCACTTGAATAATGCTAAGATTCTTACACTGAAAGTTGCCCTCTGCACCTCAGTGACCTAATAACTGACCAGTAAGTGGATTATTCTGTATATGGTATGAAAGGTAGAAAGTTTAGAGCAAATCAGAGAAAATGGGCTTATCTTCCATTCAGATCTGAACCCAAAGAAAGTCAGGGGTCAAGGAGGATTGTGGCACAGTGATGCCCTGGGTTCAATTTTTTTGTGTTATCTGTATTGAGTTTGTCTGTTCTCCCCGTGTTTGTGTGTTTCCTCCACGTGTTCCCATTTCCTCCCACAGTCCAAAGACATACTGAAAGGGGTTAACTGGCTTATGGGAAAAGTGGTTTTGGTTGTGAGTATGTGTGTGTCTGTGTTTGCGTCTGTGACGGATTCGTGTCCTGTCCAGGGTGTGTCCTGTCCTGGGCTCTTTGCTTGCTAGGATAAGCTCCAGCTCTCCCTATATCATCCTGTATTGAATAAAGCAGCTAGAAAATTGATGGATGAAGTAGCCTTAATGGGCAGGATCCTATGATACAGATCCATCAACAAAACCCAAGAATTTAAACCATCAGACGATGTTATTTTTCATCTACGCCTCTCCACCCGTGTTTATAGAACGTGTGGAGCAATATCATCACACGTGTCCAGACCCATGGGGCTCGAACGATTCCACCTGCACAGCTGGTCCACACAAGGACCCTGCACTGTAAAATACCAGAAAAAAAAGACAACTTGGCAGGAAAGGGGAATTCAAAAGACTTAAACACAGGGGTGTCCTTCCATGATGCAGGAAAAGGATCAGGAGCCTCTGAAAGGAAGCCTGCAGCCAGAGGAGATCGAGACCTTAGTGAGGAAACAGAAGCCTGGGGGGTTAATCTTGTTTCAGTCTGAAAGTTCAGCTGCACCTTGATGTGGCTTTAAATAGAGATAACTGCAAAAACAGTCCCACAACTGCCCTAAGCAGGAGTCCTCCATAAGGGCTCTCAGTGGGTTACTCCCCCTGCTGAACGGAGAGCAGAAATAAGGAGCTAATCTGTCATCCCCTCCTTGAGTCAGGGAGTAGGGAACATCCTGTTGGGGCTCTGACAGAGCAGCCAGAGCAGGTGTGTGTGTATAAAATGCACCTATCTGCCTCACCCCCTCCCTGTTCCTTACCCAGAGACACCCTACTGTCAATTCTGCTACTCCCAAGAAACTGCAGCTGGTCCCAGTCACAATGTCACGATATGAACGGTGACTAGACTCTAGGAAAACAGTGTTCCGAATTGAAAGGAGCTTGAGTGTTGAAAAACAGGCAGGAGTAGCTGGACGGCATCAGCCCTGCACGCATTGCAGGTAGCTTCAAAAGGTCAAAGATTGGAGACATTGAAACCTAAGTGGTACTAATTACATAAACAATGGATCAAACTGAGTCATTCAGAGATCAGAGTTCACAGAAACTCAACCCCCCCCAATGACTCTACTGAATGAGTGATGTTTGTATGTGTTTTAAAGTTCATTCATGAAATATGCACCATAGAAGTGGGCATAGAGGGAGATCAAGAGAGGCAATCCTACTCCACTCTAGACACACAAAGGACCAGTCAGCCAGCGCAGTCCCACAGTGGCTGGAATAGCTATCTCCTCAGTCCTCCAGTCACCTGAATACACTCTGGACTTGAATCTTAATTGATGAGTCTCACAAAATAAACAAACCTGTAATGTGGAGCTCCAGTTCCCAGAAGCACCGATGTTGTTATGGATTGTATTGAAGTAGGGACATTTCTTGCACTTAAGAGATCTAATTTCTGATACTAGGACGTGTGTTAGAGGTGTACCAGAGGTTCTGATTAAAAATACAACTAAATAGTCAGAACTTAAGTATTTCAGGCCCAGTTTTGATCCACTGCAGAAGTGGGCTTGACAGATACCACACCCTGGGTGAGATGCCAGTCCACCACAGGGCAAACAGACACAAACACACCCACACCAGGGCCAATTTTTCCAGAAGCCAACTAAACTACCAGTGTGTTTTTGGACTGTGGGAGGAAACTTGAGCACCTGGTGGAAGCTCACACAAACATGTAGGGAATATACACATTCCACATAGATAGCACCCCAGGTATGGAACTGAACTCAGGACCCCAGCTAACCACTGTGTCACTATTCCGCCCTGACAGATACCCAGCAAGCCAAGTCAGCCATACTGAACTATGATTTATCCTCCCTTCTTACGTGGACCAAGGTTGCCTCCATTTGCGGCCCAATATTGCCATGCCAAGACCTGGCCACGATAAAGCCTGCAGCACCGCAAAACAGAGTCTGCCAGCTTCTTCAGGCTGTGGTGTCAATACCTGGCCTGTTGCAACCCAAATGACTGAAATAGTAGACTGAAACTGTTTACAAAGGTTCTGAAAATATCTTGCAAGTCCTGTCTTGCTGTGTTGGACATCCTGGGACAAAGCCGATCACTGATGCCCACTGATGATCATCTTATATGCACTGCAGTGTTCTACGGGGGTGAGATCTACATAATTCACCTGCATCATGACATCCTCAGTCCAAATGACATTCGACAAAAATGTGGTCACTGCTGCACACCTGCCACAACTTCAGAATCAAACCATTCCCTAGTTTATTTTGAATTTAGATGAATGGAAAAGTGTTTTACTGCTTGTGTTTTTAATGCCACTCAGTATTTAAAACAAAATTGACTATACTGCTAATCAAAAATGACCATTAACCATTAAAATCAAACATCTAACCTAACTGCCACACACAAACCTGTTGTCTGGGCAAGAGTGGGTGACATGAGGATGTGTAGATGTAATCACGGTCTTAACGCTGACCATTATAGAGGCAGATGTGGATGTTAAAACAAATCTTGCGCAATGTTATCATTTATTTTTATCTAAAATAATTAGTCATTGCTGATTTTATTTGATTTTTTTATCGATGGCATTTACAAGTGATATTTAAAAATTATTAGTCATTGTTGCACTAAAGGTTGCACTGCACGGTGAAATCCCTTTGAGATTTCACACCAACTAAAAAACACAACCACACACACCCCTCCCCCCATACACTGAGAGTTCTAAAGTGACTCTGGGGTTACATCTGAAAGAATAAAAATAACTATTGTGTTATGATAAATTGTGAAATTAAATATATTCATCAATGGTCGCCTTTTATCAGTTTCCGTTCATTTTACCTTTACTACGTATTCAAATGGGCCTTCTACATACCCTTCTTTTGTTTCATCATCGGGTCTGTTTCTCTGCTACACAATGTGAGAGCGGAAGTATTTTTTAGGCGCACTGGGAAACAGGTTGGAGTCTTGTTTACTAACAGAAAGTTGTCGCATTAATTAACAGTGGGGAGTAATACTGTTATAGTTTTGTTTCAAGGTACGTACTTACATTTTAAGAACTTATGTACTCCAATTAGCAGACTCGATTTGACAACGTGTAGCTGTCTGTTTAAGGTGTTTTGAAACGACAGTGTCCAGCACGTATACGTCTTTTCACTTCTGAATGGATTGAAAATTCAAAATATTAAAAAACTGTCTGCGACTACTTACACTTTTCCAATTCGAAGCGAGTAAACTAAACTGTTGTCTTCTGTATCAAAGTACGGGTATGAGGCTCATGTCAGTTGTGAGTTGCAGAAGAACCCTAATATATGATGTAACGTTTGCTCTCTCTTCCTGGCAAACACATCCAGTACAAACATTTGCATTTTTGGCATAGATCTTTTAAGTTTTATGTCATAAATCCACTTGCCATTTTCGTATTCAGTGTTAGTATTTTAGCTGCGCACAAAATACTAATACCGTAACACCAGTCTTGTGTTAAATTGCGTATTTTTACTTTTTTTTAACCATATCTTTATGTTAACTATATAAAACCTGTGAAGTCTGGCAATTAAAACATGACCATGACATGAAAACAAATGACCTGCAATCCCTCCTTTGAACGGAAACGTAGGCAAAACAGAGGCGTTGTGGTTAGTATCAGTCCAGGCCATTGTGTAGTCCCATTTTTCAGTCTGTTTCTGTCGTAGACTCTTCAGCTCTTAGAATAAGAGTCTTTCTGGTGATGGCTCGCTAAACAACAACAAGGGTCTCTCCCACTACAGCTAAATTAATCGACTTGAGGCAGGATTAAAATCACGATTAATCAACACACTGAAATATAAAGTTAATTGTCAATGAACACTTTAACACGAGTTTTTCAGAACCAGAAAACAATTAGTAGGTATCAAAGTTGGCTTAACACAACTTTAGAAGGTCTTGTTACAGTATTTTGTGCAAAGTAAAAATACCAAAATCAACAAAACTACAAGGCATATTTATAAATAACATCAACGTCTTTTCCCAAAAGTGCTGATAATACTAAAAACAGCAATAGTGGATTAATTCCAGGAATCCTCAGCAAAAGGTAGACAGATGTACAGTAATTTACTACCTGTGTCTTGCATGCATTTTTAAAAGTAAAATAAGGTGCTTTAATAACAAATTGAATAAATGTTTTTTGAGTGAATAATTCAATATAAGTTATCTATATCAAGCTTACTCATGACAGGACTAGCATATTTTTATAAAATAAGCAGCCTCTGCTTAAGGCCAAGGGGAAGTTTTACCACTTAAACCATTCAATGGAGAATCATAGACAACTCTTCTTTTCTCAATAGTGGGATATGATTTAGTGGTTTCATCAGTTATTAATAATAAAAAGTAATTCTGACTGTCCTGTTAGGCAGAATGGTGGAGTGATGTCCCTTTGTGTGCCAGGCTAGGCTCTGGCTCCTCCGAGATCATACCTTATCCAGGCCAATTGGGTTTGTGAACATGGCATCGCCTTCCCACTCCGCAGGCGGCTGGGCTGGGAGGGCAGCCGGCGTGGCAGCATGGCGGATGAGGCGGGCAGTCTGCCCCTGCGGCGCCTGGAGGTGCCCATCCACAAGTTCATCAAGGTGGCCATCCCCACCGACCTGGAGCGCCTCAGGAAGCACCAGATCAACATCGAGAAGGTAAAGCGCAGCGGGATCTGTAGGGGAAAGCCGCTAGATGCTGTTCCGAGCTCCTTGAAGGAGTGGACCCTTTTCTTATAATTGGGGCTTTTCTTTTTTGACGTTTTACAGTGGCATCGGTGCGGTGAGACCCTTCGAACTTGGTTTGGGATTAAGAGCAGTTCTCCAGGGCTTGCAGCCCAGCAGGTTGCTCTGATTATGTGGGGGAGGGCTACACTTGACTCATCTTTCTGTCATGTTTTGGGAAAATAAATGAATTCATTGTGCAGCAGGAGACAGCTTTTGTGGACTGGCTTGGGAAAAAAAGAAAACCGGTGGGCAAAAGGGCCAAAAAGGGGAAAACCAACCCTGGAACAGTTAATTAAAAAAAAAAAAACACTTCTACGATGGGAGGAAGTCCCAGACCATCCACATCTCTTCAGGCAGTTTTTGGAATTGCTAATGACCTGGTGGACAAAAATCCCTTCAGCCTGAGGAGCAGTGACGCCAGAAGAGGGGCGGGTGGGAGGATTAGAGCAGGGCATGGGGGCACGCAGGGCGGCACCTGTCACTGCCGGCAGGGGAGAGGGGATCACAGCGGGCATGGCCCTGGGCAGCCAACCTGCAGCAGGCTCTCCTCTTCCTGCATCTGCCAGCTGGACTGGGGCTCGAGAGCTGCTCTCCCATACCTGTGCTGGGAGAAAGGGAGCAGGATGGTGCCTCATCGTGCTGCAGTGGGGTGAAGTCAAATAATAGTTCATTGTGGGAAGACCTCCTTAGTACTTAGGATTAGTTTCTTTTCCCTGGGATTTCCACCATTGATTTCTTCATTCTCGATAGTGAAGAATAAAGGAAGGTACTTTTTCCCTAAATGGAACACTGTGTTTTGATCTGGCAGAAGTGCTTGGTCAAAAGCACTGTAATATATCAGTAGCTCTCTTGATATATATGACTAATGGGCAGATTGTTTCTTGGTTGTTTAAGCAGTGTTGCCTCTTGGAATACGACAGTACTGTTAGGTGAATTCTTAAAAATAGCGAGGAATATGCAGAAAGAGCCGCGATGTAAGAATACCAAGAACAGTGAAATATGGGGTAATGCCCTGCTTGAGTAATGATCATTTTTTGCTGTCAGCATGATTTAAAGTAACCTGTCTGTGAAGCAAGCTGGTGATTGGAATATTTAATTTCAACACGTGGCTGATTGCTCCAGAGAAATTAGAAAACGGACAAGTCACATCCAATGGAAGGCAGAGGGTCAGCTCCATGACCTACAATTGTCATATCCATCCGATCCATCTGCAGAGTTATGTTCTGACCGTAGTGACCACAGCATGAGAAATCCCAGGAAGAATTAGCCTGTACGTCGATAGAATTGACTGGAACTTGCTCTCTGCATGACCTCAGTGGACTTGCTCGGAGGCTGTCATGTTGACAGTTGAGAATTGAAATCACTATCTTCTGTGGGTCAGAGAACAGCTGAGGTGGTGGCAGGGAGAGTAGTGGAAGGTTTTATCACCCGATAGAATTTTTTTAAACTTCAGCAGACCTGACGAAAGACAGAGGTGTGGAAACAGAGTTTGGATGAAGTGCATCAAGCTGACTTGTGTTGTTTAAGCCAGCTTGTGGGGGGTGGAAGTGTCATGATGTGGGGAGAAAACAGGAACGTCCCAGATGCAGATTGAGAGCAACTCTACTGCTCGGCGATACACTGACAACGTCCTCGAACCAGCAGGTTTCCAGATCCTGCAAGCCAATCCAGAAGAGTCGATTGTCCAGCGGGACAGCGCGAGATTGAACAGTGCCAGAGTTACAACGGAATAGCTTCAGGGGGAAAAAAAAGGTTGAGGTTTTGTTGTGGTCTGCCTTATGGTCCAGAGCTGAGTCCAATAGAACATCTGTGGGATCGACTTACCCAGGCCAGTGCCAGGACACAATCATGACAGGCAAGCCTTCGCTAGTTGGACAGGAAGAGTGTTGAGACATCAGACTAGCGGTCAGTAAATTGATCTTTTTCTTCAGAAGAACAGAACTTACTGGCACGAGAAAACAAGTTTGGTTTTCAATAGGCAGCAGATCATGCTTTGTAAGCAGCACTGTCATAATCAAAATATTCAGGAGCCATTTTTTAAATGAAAAATGAAGTCACACAGTTGCACATAGGTGGAGAAGAGCGCTCTTTTGTGACTGGAAAGCAAGAGAGAGCCTCTGCCCTGGCCCTGATCCGTGTTGCAGCACAGTGCTGCTGTGGCAGCTGTTGGAAACAGGGAGGGTGAGGCCAGCAGCAGGTGAGAGCTCCGCTGACGGAGGTAGCCGGTTCGAAGCTCTTTTGGGGTGTGGAAAGTTCAGCTGTGACCTCATCAGGGCCTGCGTGTGACTACTCGTCTGATCCTCCACCTGTCTGTTCATTCATTGCTTGGATTATCATCCGTGTGTAAAAAGTAAAAATAAGCAAGGCGGGTTTATTGGGCAGTTGTTCAGACTAATACTAGAGAGATGGGGTAGGAAAAAGCAAAAGCTTGCTTTATGGCGACACTTGTAGGCAAAGAATAATTAAGTACTCTTGTGATCTGGGATGGGTTAGAGGAGCACTGAAGAAAAAGCATCTGCTGAGATCTGTTGAATAAGGATCCCTAAGGGGTCCAGAAGAGTGTGCAGTACGGGCTTACTGTTTGATTTTTCAACCACTCTTTGTAAGAATGTCGTCATTGTGGAAAGGCTCTCCTGATTGGGGCGGTGTTGATAGTCTTTGTTTTCCTGAAGGCATTGCTGGAGTTTTCCTCAGTTAAAATGGGGATGCATACCAGATACAGTACTTTTTGGCTTCAGCTGCAGCACGTCCAGTAGCTAAAAAGAAACAATATGGTCCTGTGTTTAGAAACACGAAGAAACATAGTTTGCTGGAGGAATTTATTTAGACAGAAACATATTTGAAGATGTCAGATGTTGAAAAATGTTTTTTTTGCACACAATAATGTACATCATTATTAATCCACGGAAGTTCATTTTAACAACACAATATACTGTATCTATCTCCTATGTCCATTGATTCCCTGTTCTCTTTGCAGACAGCAATCTTATAGCTCCTGAACAGGTTTGATTCTAGCTGCATACAGTAGTTACAGTATGAGCTGACTGATCTGGAAACATCCCAGGCCAATGTTTGTAAGAATAGGGATGTTTTACCTGGCTAAATTCTGCTCTGGGTTTGAGCAAAGTGTGTTACCTAACATTCTCTCTTAATTGAATAGCAATTTCTCACTTCTTCACCAGATCTTTGTTGTGCTTTGTTGTGGGGCTGCAAGACCACGATGGCTGTTGCATGTCACCCATGTGGGGGTTGAACATTAGATATGGAGGACGAGGGTCTTGTCCAATACATAAATATGTCTCCAGGATCCTGCGGGATGAAAAATGCTTTACACGTGCAATGTCTTACACAGCATTTTTGCTTTTGATTTTGGGGCAGTTTGAATGCATGTGTTTGAGGATTTGGATAGAGCTACCACTTACAGAGTCTTTCTCTCGTCTTCTCCAGTACCAGCGCTGCCAGCAGTGGGACAGGCTGCACCAGGAACACATCAATGCCAGTCGCACTGTGCAGGTAGGGCTACTTTCTACTACTCTTCACACATACATTCGTCAGTACTGATGCCTTAGCAGCTACAGCTGTGACTACACTCACACACAACTACACGCACGTGCTTGCACAGGTGCCACAGTACTTGACTCACGGCGCTGAATATCGGCGTTTTTCTGCAAACCACAAGGAAACTGAGCCTTTGAGTGGGGGGATTCTTCCAGTTGGGCTTCGAAAAGACATGTTTTCCACAGGATGCAACCCAGACGGGTGTTTTTAGTGCATACCCCTGTTGTCTTTACAAAGCTGTTTTTATTTTACCCAGTACACTCTGATGTCTAACTTACTCTGGGTCTAACGTATTCAGATATTGCCTGCCTCTTTAATTTTCAAACAGTAAAACACATTTATTTAATCTCACTGGAATTCTACATGATTAAATGAAAGCTTTCATATGTACATTTTTTTTGTTGCTCCTTTTTATCTAATTTTATTTGTTTTGCAAAATATGTTCCCATTGAAAGGGATTTGTTTTTAGCATACTTTGTATTCATATTATTTGGTTGAAATCCAGACTTTGATGAGACTATCCTCGGCTTGGATAATGAGTTTAATATGCTCAGAATGTTTTTTTTTTATCATTCCAAGGTTAATTGCTGTTTCCAAAAGTGTTTATGGGATTAAAAATAAATAAAAAAAATAATAGAAAAATAAAAATAACACATTAGGCATTCTTTGAGAGATTGATAGTCGTGTTCTTTAAGACCCCACAGCTTAGTCAAGTGGATGCCACACACAGCAATCCTGTTTTAATCAACAGACATGCAATTATCCTGTCCTGAATGAATGGCCGAAACCAGTGATTTGCATAATATAATTAATTTGTATTGTATCAGCTATTGTGCTCCGTAGGTAAAGGATTGGATAAAACAATCCTGGTGCTCAGGCTTGTGAGATCGCAGGCTGGCTCTTCCAAGTGATGGAGTGTGTGTTTCGGTGTGATTGTAAAAGGATTTTAATTTTTTATTGCTGTTTATTTAGAAATTTGCATTTAAGCAAATCTGCGAGACTTGATGTATTGTAATACCAGCTGATGTGACAGATGTAGTCCTGCTCCTTCCTGACTCCTAGCATATTGTATTTAATAATTCTGTATTTTATTTCTCCTGACATTATTTTCTTTTCTGTCTAACCTTCCTATTGAAAGCAAAATCTGCAAAGGTTTGTAGAGACTTACCTGCTGTGTTCTTTTAAAGGATTCGTTCTGTTGCTTGGAAAGCTGTGGCTATTGGAAAAAAAAATGAACTGCACAGAAAGCACATTTTAATACATCCTAGAAATTGCTCTTTAATTGTAATTTTTGATGTGTTTGTGCTTCAGAGATCTGCAAACAGAAGCAGAATGGATTACCTGACACCCATACCTGCACCTGCTGTGAATTATGGGTGTCAGCTTTTGGGGAAAAAATAGCAATTACTCTTACACTGTTACTCATAAACTGAAAAAAAGTCTCTTTGTTGAGGCTGATGTGTAAAATTCAGTAAAATCCCTGTCAAACCACAACTGAATGAATTGCCTTCTGGTTAATGCCATGAAACAATTAAAAAAGCAAACTATAGGATATATAGTTATAAGCTTAGAATTAAAATCAAAGAATGTTATAGGATATAGTTAATAGCTTAGAATTTAAATCAAAGAATGTTATGATAAAATTGTATAATGCACTGGTAAGGTCTCATTTAGAATAGTGTAAAAGTTTGATCACCATGTTACAAATATTGCTGCTCTGGATACATTCCAGAGCTTAAGTCAGTATCCTACACAGACAGGCTGAATGAAATTAACCTTTATAGTCGTGAAGAGAGATGATTACAAGGGGACTTCGTACAAGTACTCAAAATCCTGAAAAAGCACTGGCAAAGTGAACCCATTGGACTTCAGAATCAGCAGTGAAACATGAACCAGAAGACTGAAGTGGAAAATACATAGAAGTGCATTTCATACTGACAACATGCGGCACACCTTTACACAAAGGCTTGTAGGAGTCTGGAACAAGCTACCCAGCCATGTCGTTAAAACTGATGCCCTGGTTTCTTTTCAGAAATGTCATAATGAGGTCATGGCACCATTAGGCGGATGAAATTGGATCAATTAGTAACTTACTAACAAATGGGCCAGATGGGCTACTTTTTTGTTTGTAACTGCTTTTAAGTGAATTCCTCTCTTAAGACTCAAAAACCCATGATTTAAGAAAATCAAGAACAGTGAAATATGTGGTAATGTCCTTCTTGAATAACAAAGATCACTTCTTTGTTGTCAGCATGATTAAAGGTAACTCTTTTATTGGGCTTGATTCAGTGAACGCTTGCCGTGGAGAAAGGCTATAAGTTCAGGATACCAGTCTTTCTTAAAAGCAGCACATTACTGATTTTAGATCATGGGTTGTTTTAACTCATGGGCTGTTTGAATGTGCCAGTACGTGATATCTGACTGAGCTGGGTGCCAGTAAGGGGAACTTGGGGCTGCAGGGCTTAGGCAGAAGGTTGACCAAGCTGAGAGCAATTGCCCTGGTAAAGTCAGGGCAAGGAGCTGGGAAGATTATGTGCGTTGTAGTGCAGATAGTGTATCCCAGAATCCTCAGCAGGGAGGTGCCCTCTGGCACTAGGCAGTGATGTCATCACCATTCGGATACCGAGAACTGCAGCCCGGGGATGAGGAACATGTGTCATGGAATGTTCAGTCCTTTCCCTCCCAGTCACACTCTTCCACTTTCTCTGCTTCTCTTTCTCTCTGCCAAGCCTCCCTCATGCAGTGACAGAGTTACGGAAGGCCACATACTGAACACATTAGAGCAGATCTAAAATTAAAAACGGTGAGCTCACCTACACGATGTTGCTGGATTCACAACAGTTATTGCTGCTTTCCCTCCCTCTTTCTCTCCATTTCCACCAGTAAGACCTGCAGTTTAGCCTCCTGTTAGTGCTCATTTTTCTGTCTTGCTGACTGAGAAATATCATGCTCTGCATTTTACACAACTGCCACAAAGGAGGATGGGTCTCAGTCTTTACCTCACCACTACGACACTAGTGGGGTTTTGAGGAAATCAAGGAGGTGCATTTTGGTATTTTTGGTTAACAGTTTTACTCCAGTAAAGTTGTTAGAGTAGTTTTCTAATGTGTGGAAGATCTCTGCTTGTAAAACAGTCACAATGGAATTTTCATTTTTAATAGTGGTTGAACTCAAAGCCATAACAGCAAACAATAGTTTTCTCCATGGTGAAGGTACAAACATTTCCTCACAGAAACAGTGGGTGTGCGGTTTCATTGAGGATTTTTATCACTCAGTGGCCCCAGACGTGGACTTGACCCCAGGTTTTGGGCTCTTGTTTCTGGGTGAAAGCTGTATTCTGGGGTCCATGTTGTTTGATTGCACCCCAAAAGGTGACGTAGAATCATAAATGCTACTGATTAAATTCGATGTTCGAAACAGACCTTCAGTGCAAGCCTGAGGGACAACAGAAAGACATAATCCAGCAACGTAATCAGCTGATCAGATGAGCTTTACCTGAACTTTGCAGTACTAGGCAAGGGCAGCAGGAACTGGTGAATGCCATCCACTGTCAATATGTCATGTCCTAGACAGGCATAACCAATCAAAGGCATTTGAGTAGTTCTTGGAATTAACATTTACACTTTGTGTGTATAGTAGTGTGAGTTAAAAAGGTGCAAAATAGACAAATACTTGAGAAATAAAATGTTTCTGCTTTTTGGTTTTAAGCACAATGCTTGTTTAGAGTATGGTGTCATCATGGGGGCAACGCAGAGAGTAATCTCTTTGCAGCAAATGTGTAAAAACCAAATTTGCAGTATAAAATGTCTGTAAGCGTGAAATAAAATACCTGGAGAAGAATTCGTTAGGTTACACAATAATACAAATTTTGAACCCTTTATATTTTGAATGTGTTGCCTCGACAGCTAGTACACATATGAAGGCACAAGAGGAATGCATTTAGAACTAGTGTTTACAGACCCCTGAGATTTCTGTGAGTTCACACTACAGTTTTCACTGTAGAATTGTGTAGAATTGATCTCCATCAAAGGCTTAACAATTGCTGATATGTAACAAGTCAAAATAGCACTGAATAAAACTTAACTAAGACACGTGAACCAGGGTTCAAGACTGCGTCTTTGTGAAAGTGAAAGTTTCATTTGCACGTGAATCAGAAGATCTGTGAGAGGGACAGACTGGTAAGATGGCTAAAAGAATTGTGTGCCAAAAGGTTTTCTTGCCAGTTATTTGGATTTATCTTTGTAGTTATTTTGGTTTTGCGTATTTATATATATTAAAGAAATAGTGCAATTCTCCAGGACTAGCCAAACGATATTATCAATGTTTTTACAATTCTGGAATAATTCATTATACCTGTTTGATTTATATGCCCTAGAAACAAAGATAAAGATAAGTCGGTTAAACATAGTCTTACCCTTATCTGTCTCATAAACCATGTTGTTTAACTTGTCTGGCTACAATTTCAATTTAAGATGGTTTCGGAGGCAGAGAAGGTATACCTTGGTGATAGAGTAGATGTACAGTTGGGGTGCAGATATTAGCTGTCTTAACCCAGAGTTCCTCCCTGTGGTCTTGCAGCCGGGTCTGCTCTGTGCTGTTCATCTGCTGATCAGCAGCCCATTCCAGGGAAAGACAGGCTGCTGTTCTGTGTGTGTATTTCTGCCTAGGCGCGTACAGACATAGAAACACAGGGAGAGCCAGCGAGACTGAAAGGGAGTGTTTTACCCGGTTTCTGCTGAAGTGCCCTTCTCCGGCCCCAGCTGAATTGAGCAGGAGACGGGGGGAGAGGTGGATAGAGGGAGAGAGGACTGGCAGCTCTTATCCTGCCTCCTGTTCATCAAGAGGCCTCTCTGCACAGTGGGGTGCAATCTCCAAGGAGCCTCTGAGGACGTGTGCCACTCCGCCTGCCTGATTGTCACCGCTGTGGGCTTTCTGTTGACTTTGTTTTTGTTCATGTTAGTATTTCTCGTTCTTTTTTTTGCCTTGGCTACGCTAAAGAAAGCAGATTCTTATTCCAAGAGGCTGCCCAGCTATAAACAATCACAGGGAAGCCCAAAGGGCATTTATATTGTCAATAAAAGGTGCTTTAATCTGTGTCCAAACAAAATAGTAAACAACTTCACTTTCAGATGCTTTGGGTGAAGAAAACTAGAATGTGCTGTTGTGTCACTATTTTTCAGAAGATGGCTAGAATCCAGATTTTTTTTTCCCCTCTAAACAGAAAAGCCCGTTAGTTCTTCACGATACCACTTCAGAAGGTCCAGCAGTGCCAAATTCACCACACTCACGTAATGCTGTTGGTCACATAATGCCTGCACTGTAACCTAGGTCTTGTCCCACAAAATTATGGACTGTTCAGTTTCTCAGAGGTTTTGATCTCTATTTTTGATGGCTAGAATGTAATTAGAAATAAAATCCTGTTTATTGTACATAAGAACTACCTGTAGAGTGAGTTTTTTTAAAGAGCTCCAAAATTAGGGTTATTTTGCCTGCGCTAATGTGTCTCTGGGAGAGATGTTCTAATTGGTCAACCACAATACAGGAGATTATGTACTTATGAAATAGAAAAGCCATTCACAAGAAAGACTCACCTTTCTTATACAGTACCCAGACTCTTCCTGTAACTTCTCATAGATTAAATGTCTGCCATCTTCCAGTGCAGGTTAGGATTAGAGGCTAAATTCCACTCTAAATTTAAGAATCAGGCCATCCCACCTCTGTTCTGAAATGAGAAGTTTTTTTTTGTGAAACAAATAAACCTACTAAAAAGAAATTGAGAGCCAGCTCAGCAAACAGGAGTCTGCCACTGTGGATCCAGCATGATCATTACTGCTAAAAGATCAGATAAAAACTACAGACTAGGATGTGTTCTAATCACAGAATCGCTGATTCAGAATAAAACATTAAAATAAATTATTTTCATCAAATCGCTAGTTTAACACTTCTTTGTTATTAAAGTGTCCACAACAGGAATCTATAATCATCTTGTACCTCTGCCGGCCCCTAGATTAAAACCACTTTCGTGTTTTTGTCATGGTAATTTTGAACCACAGTGGTTGTCTTAATGTGTGTAAATAAAAGTAAAACTGGGGGATATGGGCTTTTATGTAAACCGTATATAAAATTTTACATGTGTGGTTTTTTTTTGTCAGGCTTGGACCAGTCACACTCACAGAATAACAGTCCAGTGTTTCTCTCTCCAAAGAAGTGTTTTTTGTTTCTGTTTTTGATTTTTGTTCTGATGCCCTTCTTTTTTGTGTGTGTTCTGTGCAGATTTCGGGGTGATAGCGCTATCACCTCTGCGATCGTGCAGAGATATGTGGTTAGATAGCATTGTAGGTGGGAGGCTGGTTGTGCTCTGGGCCTGGGCTCATGCACCGATGCTCTGGTGTCAGTTGGGTGACGGTTAGTATTTGACATTAGGCAGCCCATCGGAGGAGGATCTGAGATATTTTTGGTCACCACCTACCTCTTTGGTAACGATAGCACATCTGCAGTTAGCGTCCTAAAGAGGAGTCACCCTGCCGTGTGAAGCCTTATTAAGTTAATCAGAATAAAACAACCCCTGCTGTTTTTGTGTTTTTCTCCCACAGTGTGATGTTACATGTGAGGTGCTGCTTTTTTTGGGCTCATGTCTTCACCTCCTCTTAAAGAACCTGCTTTTCAACTTAACCTTTTTTAAAATACTGTTTTGTACATGTATTTTTCCTGTCTTTAACGGCTCTGAAGTAACTCAAATAGGTCAGTCTGATCTGTTGGAGAAATTTGGTTTCGTTTGTTTTTTTTCTCATCAGCTGTGTCTTCTAAAATCTCATAAATGTGTTCCCCGCTGTTTTCTTTCTCTCCCCGATAGAGTAGGCTGCATCACACTGGTACATAAAGTAACGCTAAAATGAAATGCATTTATTCTGCTTCAGACTGGCTCCAGCAAAGAACCCTTTACTAAACAAAGTGTATTTCAAGGATACTGGAAACAGCAGGCTGTGATGTATGAAATGTTATAATGGAAGCTTTTTTTAATGATTCATTTTACCGACATAAGCGTAGCAGTGCACACAGTACTGCAAAAGTACAAACAAATGCAGCCCAGCTTGTGGTATCCCTCTTACACTGGCACATTGTGCACTGTGTTACTGCTGGACCCAAACCCAAGGACAGCAGAGGCCATTTCAATGAACAGATCAAACCAGGAAGGTAAGACCTAACATTGGTAGAAGCACCGAAACACCACACAAATCCAGATGAAGTTTAAAATGCACTTCTCTCACATTCCATGTTACACGTTACACTAATATCTGAACTGTCACAAAGGATATAGCAGAGAGATCAAGCCTTTGAAGCTCTGTAGGAGCATTTGGGCATGTCTGAATTTACCCCTTTGCAGGACTGGCTCCTTAACGAGAGCTGTAATGCCCTGCCCTGTGTTTTTATGTCTCTGGCCCTCTGCCGTCACTCACTGCGACATTTCTGTGCATCTTCTCTGCTTCCTTGGCAGAGTTATACATTACACATGGTTGGAGTTGTCCAGTATGGACTGGACTGCCCTGAGGAGAGTGAGAAGTGACAAACGTAGTCGCAGAGGATTGAGAGTTGATACCACGTAGTAAAGCTTCAGGGAGCCAGTCAGTACAGCCAGTGGAGTACTTGCTGTAGCTCTCATCCTTAGGACAGATCTCTTTTGCCTCATCTTGTTTTTCACATGCTACTATGGAAGCCAGCTTGAGATTGTGCGGTGTTTGGGTTTTTAAAATACTTTTAGAACTACTGTCTGTCTTTGCTAAACCCCCACGATTTGGAAATAGCCAACAGTGTGATTCCTACAGTATGTTGGCTCCCAGCTATAAATCCCTTATCTGCACACAGGAGCGAATGAGGAGGTGCAGGCAGACTCCTTCGAACCCCCCTTTGAGTCATTTCATCCACCCAGTCACAGCCAGCTAGTGACATGACACAGGTTCGAACCCGTGATCATAAACGTTCATTCTGTGCTTGGGCCCAACTCCAATCTTACAGCGACAGAATCCAGCAGGTTGTCTTCTTTGTCTCTTTAAATCATCATTAGCTGAAGACCTTTGGAAAGTGTTTAGTTTGTCCATGATTAGCTCAATTAGACCATTAAGCACAGACATTGAATAAAAACCATCAGACTTTGTGACTCCCCAGGACTGGCATAGAACATTTTTACCTAGCCGCCTTGTATCTCTGCTAACTGGACAGTAAACTAGGCTTTAACAGCTTAATCGTATTATCCTGTGTGTTTATTCAGAAGAAATTAATATTCTCTTCAACACATGGGAGTAAGGTACATCTGCTGATAAGTCCGTAGCCTCTGACCCTAAAGCCTGTTTCACTCAGACATGCTGTGTGAGGCTGATTCATTGATTTAAAACCCTTTGCTCTCTGGGGCAAACACATGGAATGTGTCAGCTCCTTTTCAAAACTAGCCTGGAGGATGACTATGCTTAATGCAGCTCATCTCAGTACAGCATTTGCAAGCTCATTCTCAAAGCTCAAATAGCTGTTATGAGACAAGATTTCTACCTCACTCCTCCTTCCTGTAAGTGTAACTAACAGTCCCAGTAATGGGACTGCTGTGGTTTTTACGTGACCAACAGAGACTATTATTTGCTTTTTTTTATGGATCACCAAAACAGGTGTGGAATTAAAGATTGAGGAACGGTAGGCATCTCCAAACCCACTTTTGAATCCCTCATGCACTCAAGTCACAATCAGCTAGTGACACGACACAGGTTCGAACCCGTGATCATAGAGTTCAGTGTGTGCTTGGGCCCAGCTCTTATCCACGAGGGGACAGAATCCCGCAGGGTTTCTTCTTTGCCTCTTTAAATCATCATTAGCTGAAGACCTTTGAAGAGCTCAAATACTGCAGCTGTTTTTTAAGCTTTTCAATGGTAGGGTTATGTAGTAGGATTTCTCCCACAAATAATGGGACTACTGCAGTTTTTTCATGGCCAGCATAGGCTGCTTCTTCTGTCGTGCTGCTGGTGTAATCAGTAATGTTTGTCCAGACCTTTCTTTATAAAGAAATAAAAGAAATCATAATTAAGAAATAAAAGACACGTCGCAAACTGGCAGCCCCACTCATGACCCGCGATGGATGTGCCCTTGTCTTGCAGCAGTTGCGTGCCAACATCCGCGAGATGGAGAAGCTGTGCGCGCGCGTGCGGAGCGAGGACACCAGGGCACTGGACAGGCTGGTGCGGCCCACGCGGGAGCAGGCCTCCGTCGCCGCCGGCGACTTCCTGCGGCTCCACTCCGAGACCGCCGCGCCGACAGGCGTCCAGCCCACGGGCCCCGAGAGTCCCCCGGCTCCCAGTCTCTCCCGCTCGCTCACCGCACTAGGTACGTGCCGCCATCACGGGCACGCCTCCTGCCGCTCCGAGTGGCGTAGTAAGTGAGTTCGCACCCACGCAGACCCAGCTGCCTGCTGGGATTTCCGTTCAAGGGGCTAATTTGTACTTCACATCCACGCCTTCTGCTGGCCTTCGTGTCAAGTCTTCCCACCAGGTTTCTCTCTCCCTCTGGCAGGCAGTTTCTCTGGCGGCGAGGAGAGCAGCATTCCCCTCCAAACTCAGACCCAGCTGCCCCTGCCAGAGATACCCCGAGACCAGAACGCTGCAGAGTCCTGGGAGACGCTGGAGGAGGTAACCAGGACAGCATGTCTGTACAGTACTTACCGCTGTATAGCCCAGCAGAACAACACCTCGTGCTTTCAGATTTACACACCCAGGGACAGAAGGGAGAGAAATGCTCACCTACTATCAGTGCAGGCGAAAGCCTTCGTTTGAAACCTGCAGCTCTGGATGTTAAGGAGTTGTCTTCATTAGCATGAGTAAATTGTGCCTGTCATTCTGTTTTTAGGTGAGCTTTGAATGTTCCTCACTTTCTTTTTTTCATTTTTTGTAGGACTTGTTAGAGCTAAATGGCCTTGTGAATGAGTTTGCTGAGCTGGTCCATGTGAGTATCGATCACCCTTACAGTTCGTAATAGACCCCTCGGCTCATCTTTGTTTTCAAAAAAGCATGCCCTGGAAGCAGACGGAAATCATCGAGATGTATGGAGAAGCTGTTTGACAGAGAACATAAAGGACACATGACAGGTGACGAACGGAGGGAGACCAGTCAGCCCATCTCTCTCGCACAGCTGCTGGTAGTTTATTGATCCACAAACCTCATCAAGTTGTTTGTTAGAGGTTACCAGTGAATCAGAATGATAGTAGCAAGACATGATATGGTATTCAGTGTTGAAGTAAAAACGATAACCAAAAAGTAATGAACACCTCTATCTGCACAAGAATTCCACATATATGAAGACACAAGGCACTACAGAATACATTACTTTATATTTTCTGTTGCTTTACCATCTAGGTGCCTCAGGCCACATACAGTATTCTGAAAAAAAAATCTCGATCTGTTCTCACACCTGTAAACCCCATTTTAACCCCTGAGCTCTGCTGCTCTAGAAGACGTGTCCCCAAAAAGAAAAGCTTAGAGGTACAAGGGAAGCACAAGTTATACATGTATCAACTGCTCGATATTTAAAATATTAGTAGGAAGTTATAGACGAATTCCTCAGCCCGACTGCTGTGTGCACTGAGACTGTGAAGGCAGCTCACACTTCGTCTCTGATTTAATTGCAGAAATGACAGATTACAGTCTGAAAATTCCACATTACTCCCCTGGTTAACTCCTTTGTAGACCTGGGACTCCCATGTTAAATGTAGAGAGGTTAGATGTATTCAGGGTATTGTGAGGAGCAGTGTCCTTTGGGGTTTGTATTGATTGACAGACGGGGGTGGAGGCTGTGTGGAAAAGGGGGGACTGTGTGCTGTACACTCGGGGGGACTAAGGCAGCTCTTCTTCACTCACACACTCATACTACCACAGCAAACCCAGTCCGGGAACAGTGAATTACATTTTCATGATGATACTTTAACTGGGTAAGCAGAGCTTAGAAAAGGCTAGCTTTCTTTCTTTCCTCTCTGTCCACTAAGTGAAGAAGACAACTAAAACACGGCTGATTTGGTTGCATACATTTGGACTTTTTTCATTTTCAGGGCTAGATATCAAGCGCCTGTATTCTCATTTTCACAGACTTGCTAAATGTTTATCTGTTTATTCCAAATACTCAAATAACACAGGGAAGCTATGAAGTGGCACACAAGCGTTACAGGATACAAATTTGAAACTACTTTCTCCAGCCTGACTGACGCTGCTGCATTTTGTAACAGTCCGTTCTCGCTTTCTGAAACAAGGGAGAAACTCGCTTGCTGGAAAGGGCTTTGTGATTAAGACCCGAAGTGAGTTAAAAGGCTTGGTTCCTTTGCGTGGCTGCACAGCTAGTGCCTGGTTGCTTGCAGTTGTGAATTCAGTCCTCGGGCTGATTGAGACTCGGATGGGCAAAACTACTGCTCATCACAGCCCCAAGGGATTAGGTGTAGTTAAGTGCTGATTAAATTGTGTGGACCTGCTCTGTATGACAGGTAGGGCCTAAACATCTATGCAAAGAAAAGTTGAACAGGAAAGACAGTCAACTGCTCTGCCACACTGTTGTGCTTCTAAAGTTACCGTGTCATCATGATTTTATGGAGCAGAGATGGAACAGACATGCTGCATAACAGGCCCTCTGAGTTCTTCTTTGGAACATCCTGCATGAACCTCGGCTGATATTGTCTCTCTTCGTGGCTGGGTTGGTGTTGTCTTTAGTTCTCACCACAGGCCTGAGTAAACACTGCAGTCCTGCAGGTTCAAACAACATATTGCCATTGAACCCCTTGAAAGCTGAAATAAGCCAGCACATTTTTAAGATCAGCACAGTGCAAGAACACGTTACATTTTGTTCCATACAAATGCGTAACTCCTGATTTTTCAGTCAATAAGGATATAAATTCCTATATCAATATGAATATAAATGAATGAGAAGAGCAACCCGTTACATGATGTGGCTTAGGGGAATGTCCTACACTGACAGGCTGTGCTTTGAACAGAGGAGAGGTTCCTGATACAAGTATAAATCCTCTAAGGCTTTTGCCAGCGGACATCTCCGGAATGAACAAAGAAGTGCAAATTAGAGGACACAAGCGAAAACTACATGAAAGTGCATTTCAAACTGAGAACTTCTTCGTGCTGTGGGAGTCTGTAACGAGCTAGCCATGTTGCTGTAGCTGATATCTGGGCTTCTCTCAAGAAACGACTGGATGAGATCCTTGGATCTATCAGCTAATAACTACCGGGCTAGATGGGCTAAACGTTGCTCCTTGTGGTTCCTACTTTCTTCTGATTATGCAATTATAGACAACTGATTGAACAAGCAAATACTTACAGTTCAGCTCTGTGTCTTGAACTGTACCTAACTGCATGATCTAGAGTAACTGTATATTCTAGCTTGATCTGAGGAGCTGCCTGTTGTATGCTTATAAAGAAGGACAGTGAGTGTGAATTTGTGACATCTTAACCCTGCTTCCTGGTCTAAGCACCCACACTGCCAGCACCCCTTGGCCACAGCGCCTCCAGCTGGTGCTGAGTGGATAGTGGGTTTAAGAGCGGCTTCTCATGAAGGTGGGAGGTACGAGGGGCTCCCACTGGCACTCCCCAGTCGCAGACTTGAGAGACAGCTGCTGCTTTCTGAATATTTTATAAGCGCCCTACACCGCCATGTAAACCCAGCTCCCTTCACCTAGTCGTGCAACCTGTAATTGAAGAAAAATAAGAATAAAGAATGCGGAATGCATCCTGGTACACACTTTTCCTTCTTTTACCAGTCTGTTATCTGGAAAAGCTTTTAAATACTTGCCCCCACCTGCCTGCCTCTAAATGTATTGAAATCAAAACATGCACACAGTAAGAAAAACATCCTAAAATTATTGAGGAATAAAGCAACAGGGTGAGAAGGCAGCAATAAGGTCGGTATGGCGGTGTTAATAAAGTGCCATTAGGAGCTGTAGCAGCTACATTGACTAGCAGATGAAAGTGGCTGCCGAGTCCCTGATTATGGGGTATTAAATTTGTGTGTATTGGCTTACCGCTGCTTCCCAGCAGGGCTGCTCACACATAATTCCATCGCATCTCAGTCCCAACAGGAGAAGATTGACAGCATTGAAGACCATGTCAACACTGCCGCTGCGAACGTTCAAGAAGGATCCCGGAGCCTGGGGCAGGTAGGGAAGAGCGCCTGCTGAGGAATCGATGGCTCTCTGCCTGCCAGCAATCTGCAGTGTTTACCCCATTGATCCGCCTCCTGCAATACTGAGGGAACCGGCAATTAACGGAATAAGGGAAGTGGGGACAAACCTGCAGTCGGGCGGGGGGAGAGAGCGAGCGAGCGAGGGAGTGGGGTGGGGGTGGGGGATGCAAAAGAGGAGTGAAATAAGGAAATCGATCTCTGTTTGGATGGTCTCTCGCAGCGAGTCAATGTGAGACAATATTCCGAGAGTAGAAAAAGAACATTTAAGCCCACGCTGCTATGAAATAGCCTTTAATAAATGGCTTTGTTTGTTTTTGAAGTGTGTTCTGAAATTAAAAAAAAAACTCCAGGACGACCAGCAAGAAATGCTAATACTAATAATGAAAGTAAAAGTATTTTTACTATTTTGGGCTGCCTGCTCTGCGTCTGTTCTGTGTTGTTCCTTGCGAGGCAGGGATGGCCAACTAGACAAACTCCTCTTGATGTGGAGGGCCAGAGCAGTGCTTTATTGCCCTCAGCAGTGCTTTGATGGCCATTGGTTATATCTGTGAGTTCTCCAGTGTTTAAAATCACTGCCATATTCCCAAACTGCTTTCATTTATTCAATAACCAAACCAAAGCAAGAGCTCTCAAATCTAATTCTATTAAACAACCTGTTATTTGTCCTTTCCTCGATGAAGTGAAGAGTTTGTAATTGCAGTGTTTTTTAAATGAGTTAAGGAAGTTACCTTTTGCAGATATTTTATTGAAGAAAATATTTTCAAATTTTGGTCAAAGTCTTTCTTCACAGCATTAAATTCACAGGACAGCTAATCATTCATAAATGTTACCAATTAACAGCTGAGCGATATTCCTTAAGAATATGAACTAACTGTACCTTTGATTTAATTGCTACTTTAAAAAGTATTCGTAAAAATGTTCACCCCACTTTCAGGAAAAAGGTTTCCTATTTTCCTAAAGTACAAATGCTTGTAAAAAAACATTTTACTAATAAAGCTGTATTGTTTTTATTACTGAGAACAAAACTGCTTGTCTAACTGTATGGAACTCATAGGAAGAGGAAACTCTACTCATTTTCTATATTATGAGATGGGAATGACCTTTATGTGACTGTTTTTTGTAATATTGTACCGTCACTTTCTTGCTGTTTTATACCACAAGTAGGAGTTTTCTAATTTATATAATATTGCGAGCTTCTTTTTTATGTCATATTTTCATGATGTAGGTGATTTGGATAATCTTTCTTTACATTCAGTGCCTTGTAAACATATTCACCTCCTTCCAGCGATCAGGTTTCATGTGTTACTTAAAATGTCCACTTTAAAATAATTGCATACATCACTCGTAATTCAACAAAAAGGGAAGGGAGTGAATACTTTTCCATGGCACTGTACAGAATGATTAGTCAAATCACTTGCTTCATGCAAATAGGAAACACCACGTTTTCTCAAGATCAACGAACAATAGTATCAATTTAAAAAAGTACAACAACAAAACATATTTTTATGAACACATTTTATATATTTTTATTTTTCTCAAAAACATACTAAAGAATATAGAAGAATAGCAAAAAAAATATAAAGAGAACCACTTCTACTTATTGTACAAATTAGGCAGTACAATATTATAAAGAATAGTAGTTTAAATAATATTATTAATAATAATAATTATTATTAAATGTTGTTCCCATCTCATAATATAGAGGAGCATTTATGTGGAAAAAACTGTAATGCACTGAAACATATAGTGTTTCCTCTTCACTGTAGAGTCATGGCATCCTTACAGATAGAAAAGCTGGTTTTATTTTCCATAATAAAATCACTACAGCTTTAATGTCTTTCTTTCTCACCACTCTGGCGGCTGTCACAAGCTTACTGTGGAGAGAGTAAATTCACCTCCAGTTACGTTTAATAACTTGTTTACCTTCTTGATTGGTTAAGCAGGGGTTAGCCATGGCTGGGTAGGGGAAATACCTTAAGTGTTAATTTAGCAGGCCTTTATTTTCTCTTTACAATACAGAAATTGGCTGCCTGCCCACCAGTCTGCCTTGTTCTCCTGGCTGGAGTGAACCTGGTGCAGCCCAGAGATTATAGAAGCCTTTACAGCTATTTCCTCAGGACAATCATCTCCAAAGTGTTTTTAGTGGCACATTTTTTCTTCACTTTTCCACAAGCTTTTTTCACTCCTTCCTAAAAAACAAAACAAAATTGCTCTACTGTATTATATCTAAAAAGAAACAAAAAAAAAAGCTTGTGGTTGTCAGAACACCTATACCTTGTCTTTAGAATTTGCTTTGCATTTCAAAGACGTTGCATAGTGGCCTACTGTCGTACTCCTTGGTAAAAAACAGATTAAACAGTAATAGAGCTACAGCAGAGTCATAGTATAGAATAGAGAGATGGATTACACAGACGTGTGGTGGTTTAATGTATTTTTCAGCTTTGATAATTGGAGTGAGGTGAGAAACTAGAATTACCCAGCACCTCCACCCCCACCTCTGGCAAAATGTCATAAGACCTGACCAAAAGACGTTCTCATTCACCTTGGTCGGCAATGACAAAGTGATGATGTGCTGGCTGCCCATTTCTGTACTCCTCATTCTTGTGATCGTGAAGCTATGTACTGTACCACAGTACAGTATTCTTGTGATCATGAAGCTATGCACTGTACCACAAGCTGCTGGCATGTTCTCAGGGTGCTCTGTCAACAGAAAACTCCCGATTCTTGGGTGCAAATGGGGCTAGAACGCTCCAGTAGTGAAGACGTGGTGGGGGGTGGGGTCAGAAGCGCTCTGGAGGTGAGCAGGAGGATTGTGTGGCGGGCCGACAGCAACGTCTGGAGGAGGTGTGTGGTTTTGTGTTTTTGTTTTTCTGGGTCAGCGTTAAGGGCGGCACAGCTAGGGAGGTGAAATGGCAACTCAGGATTTCAGAGAAGAAAAAGTAACAACCGCGGAATCAGTCTTTTGTTTTAAAAGAACAATGCTGTGTAATCTCTGGTATTCTTAATGTAGACATATTACAGTATATAATAAAAAAAACGTTATCTATATAACACCAAAGTAGCTTCTGAAAATGCTTTACAGTAAGAAGGAACAATGATAGGAGACGACATCATTAGCACAATTAAAAACAAGAGTTTAGCAAGAGAAGGCCCTGGCACCCATAGAGAATAAGCAAGCTTGGGGGGACAAACTGGAGACCAGAGAGACTATTGAAGGTTGCGAGCTGGCGAGTAGGAAGATAATAAATCAAACACATACAGAGGTGCTAAGCCATACAGTGCCTTGTAGGAGTACATGAGGATTTTGAAGTCCACACGAAAACCTTATAGGAAGCCAGGATAGCTGCAAGGATTCCAGGACAAGAGTAATGTGATCACTTGCATGTGACCTGGTCAGGATTGACCATTGAGGATTGGTTGCTGAAATTTGTGGACATACTGAGGTTTGTTCAGTGTGGATTTAGATACCCCAGCGAATAGGGTGTTGGAGAATCAATTCTAGAGAAGATGCAGTCAAGAGAAGCTACAGTCAGAGACATCAGAGGAATGTCGATATTTCTGAAATGGAAGAATGATGTACATGCACAGTTACTCACAACTGGATCATTGGTTGAGATCAGCCCTTTTCCCAGCAGATTTTTTACATTTAGTGTCCGTTTGTTATACACAGCTCTTCACCTGGGATAATTGCTGTATTGATCTAGTTAAGGTTTAACTAGACCAGTTTATAAGTTCTCCACAGCCTTTAGCTGCTGAGGGGTTAAGCAGACCTCTGGGGTCTGGAATTAAGAAGCCCTGATTTAGATTTTGTTCAGCAAAATGAAGAGCTTATACTAAAGCTATAGGACTGTGCTTGGACTGTCCCTCTCAGTGCTGGCCAGGCCTCTGACAGTGTCTGTGGTGTGACCTGAACTACAGGGTTAGAAATCTTGAACTATCGAGATATCGAGAACAAAGACAAAGTGAGTAATCCTAATGAGACTACTAGAGTAGGTATTCAGATATTCTAAATCTCAAAGATATTGACAAAGTCTTAAGGGGATGTTATACTGTACAATGCCAGGTTGAAGGAGCTGAACCTTTTAGTTTTGAACAGGGAAGACAAGGGGACTTGTAGCAACTATTCAGAATCCTTAAAACCATTGACAAAGTCCAACAAGCGGATTTCTTTAGAATGAACAGTGAAACGCGAATGAGAGGACACAAGTAGAAACTACTTGGAAGTGTATTTAAAGCTGAGAATAGGAAGCACTTCTTTACACAGAGGGTGGTGGGAGTGTGAAACAAGCTACTCAACCTTGTTGTTGAAGCCAATATCCTGGTTTCTTTCAAGAAATCCCTGGATGAGACCCTCAGGTCAATTAGGAATTAACTAACAAATAAGCCATATGGGCTGAATGGTCTTTCTTATGTTCTTATGTAACATCACATTTAAAGCAATTAAGAGCACAACCTGGTCCAATCCCTGACAGATGTTGATGAGTGCAGTTTCTTAAAATTCTACTGCTGTTTTCATTTATGATAGCAGAATGTCTGTTAAGACCTAAATAAAGAAGGTTGTAATGCTTTGGAAAAAAAAGCAATTAAATGCACAGGGTGAGTGAAAAAATATGCTCTCGCTTTGTAGGCAAGTGTCGTTAATTAATTTGTCTGTAAACAGCAGTTTAAAAGTGTTGACTTCAGAAGATATCGGAGATCAGAGGAGTGTCAGAAGTTGGCAGCCCCTTAGAAAGTGTTTGATGAACGCTATCTTCTATCTTACCAGGTGCAATTATAGTAACACTAGGAGGATGTTCATGAGTCATTTAAAGTTTGGAGGTTTTAAATTAAATTTGTGAAAACAGCCAGTTCTGTATAAAGGTTTGAATTTTGATGTTCATTCTATTTTTATGGGAGCTGTGTGCTGCTTTTTAAATAAGAGACGTTGAGACGTGGTATTTCTTAATATCGGCAAAATGCCCTTCCACCACGTCTTGGACTGGCCATCAGTGAGTTCAGTTCAAGGACAAGGATCAATATAGGCAGAATTGTAGAGCTTTACATCTGAACCAGTTTTGGTAACATTTCACAAAAGGTGTTATTTCAATGTTATTATGAAATAAAATTTCCTGTGGAGTTAATATGAAACATATTTTAAGTCAAGCTATATTAATAGGCTATTCATATCCGCCATTTCTAATGAAATAGGATTGAAATAGAACAGATGGATGTTGTAAAGTTTTGCCCATACTGCTTTCACAAATTGTTAGTTTCACTTGCTGTTTCACACACATATGTAAATGGCGTCATTTAAAAGTGATTTATTGTGAGAGAAACAAAACTTAATCAGCTCGTTACTTGTTTTTGCCAGGATAAAACTTAAACCTTTATGAACGCAGTATGTGGCCACGTACTCACCCATCAGTGTGAAAAATCAGTGAACAGAAAACTGGAAAGACTATTCATTTTGCCATCTCACCATGCCACAGCTCACCTCCCCAGTCCCTCTTGAAGCACAGGATAGATAAAGACTGCCTGAGCTGAGCCCTGGGCTGCCAATGGGAGTTGGGACATTGGTTGAATTATGGCCGATGATGTTTGTCGTGACAGAAGAAGGCCTGGCCAGACAGTGATATAAGAACACAGCTGCTAGTCTGTCAGCTCAGTTTGAGTGACATTTGAAAATTGGTAAAAAAAAAACGAAAATGCTTCCACATTAAAAATTAATAAAGTGACTGCCCTGCTGTTCCTCCTGCAGTTTGTTCCCCTCTCCTTTTACACAGGAACCTGGGAAAAGAAAAGATCTTTAATGGGTTATAATGGGATGCAGATGAAAAATTGGAAGCATGTGGTGCTGAGAGAACCTGGCTTTCATTCATGCTACAGCCTGAAAAAAAAAAAGATGAGATGTTTCTTTTTTAGCTGTTTTGTGTTTTTGTATTTAAATGTAATTTGTCTCTAACATCTGTTTTTTGTCTCTCTTCTTTCTACATCTCTATCTCTTTTCTCATCCCTTTCTTCCCCTCTTCATCTCCTTATCTCTTTCTGACTCTCCCCTATCTCCTCACTTCTCTTCTTTTTCTTCCTCTCCCTCCTCCTCTTTTATTCCATCTCTTTTATTCTCCCATTTCTTCTCCAACTGCCCCATTCCCCCCTTTCTGGCTTCTCTTTTTCTCTCTCTCTTTGGCTGCCCCCCCCCCATCCTCTGTCATTCTTCTCCTTCTTTCTCTGCAGGCTGCCAGGTACAAGATGGCGATGCTGCCCGTGGCAGGCGCTGTGATCGGTGGGGTCGTGGGGGGCCCTCTGGGGCTGCTGGCGGGATTCAAGGTGGCAGGAGTGGCGGCGGCTGTGAGCGGGGGGCTGCTGGGATACGCCGGGGGCAACCTGCTGCAGAAGAGCCGGCGCGCCAAGGTGGACACGCAGCTGCAGCAACTGTCTACCAGCTGCCCTGAGCTCTGTAAGCAGGAGGACAAGAAGAAGCAGTGAGCAGAGGAGAGGGTCTGGGGGAGGTGAGGGGATAGCGGGTCCCATTTGTGCGTCTCGCTTTCCCGTTCCACCTCTTTGTCAAATCAGCTCCCATCTTTACCTCTCGTCTCCATTCCCTTTTCATCCGATCCATTACCCCTTTCCAGGGATTCCGTAACACGTGGTCACGAAAGGGCCTGGAATTCACTGTAACTGAGTTTTGAAAAAGAAATGGAGTGGGAATTGGACCTGGCTTTGTGCAACATGAGTTGACAGCAGCCCTCCACTGTCGGCCCCTCTCCACTTGTCCCCCAGCGCTGCACAGATTCAGCCCATTCAGAGAGTGACACCAAGGATTCACTGAACCACTCGGCAAGGGGAAGGGTTTGCCTTGTTTTTTAGGTGCCTAGCTCCCTAACCCCTGGAAACATCACACCTGTGAGTCAGTGCAAGACCTCTTATTGTCCTCCGGGAGCAGAAAGAATATAGACAGGGATCTGAATGACTTTGCCAAAGATGCTACTCAAATACATTTCCTGTGCCTGTTCTAATTGTTCCAAACGCACAAGTTGCCGTAAAATCATCAGGCCCGTCCCTACGGCCTCTCATCTGAAGTTGTACATTTTGCCCTGTGGAAGACAGCTCTTGGAATGGATGGCTTGCAGGTACCCCTTGGGCCCGCCTGGCGGAAGTACTGGTGAGCCCCGCTCATGAGGTTGGTCTTATCTGACAAAGGCATTTCCTGCCTCACTGAGCACTGGAGTGCAGCTTGAAACTTTCTACGTGGAAAGCAGAAGCAGCCTGCTAAGGTGCAGGATGAATTACAAGCATCGGTGCTCCGGGGTACCTAAAATTGATAATGTCCTAAGATCTGAAGAAAGGACTGTCTTTTGGTTCAGTGTAAAGATACAGGGGGTTGCAGGACTTTAGCTGGTCCCTGAATTTCCCCCTATATAAAAAAACGGTAGTAATGTACTCAGGGGACAGTCGGGAGTAGATATCGCATGGAGGTAATACAAAGGTTAAAACATTTCACTGAAAAGCACATAATATATGAAATTCTACAAGGAAGGATTGTGAGTTTATAGTGTCAGGTTTTTATAGCTTGGGAGAGGGAATTTTACAATACAGTGGCCTTGTGCAATATACACTTACTTTATTGAATCAGTTGATGCTGAAGAGAATGATTTAAGAGAAAAGGTGTCTGACATATGAATGGGTAATTGGGAGTCATGTGATTCAGGTGGCACTTTTATTTGAAGAAGGCGTGTGCCAGGCTGAGCCGACGACGAGCTCCACGTTAAACTGTCTCCCAGGTGCTTGCATTGGTCTTTGCATTTTTTCAAGTGATTGAAATAAATGAAAGCAACACGTAATTGTCCCTGTCTATAAATGGTAAAATGCCTACAAAACACCTAAAAAAAAAATGTCCTGCCTGGGTCCTGGTTTTGGCTAAGGCCTAGAGCAAATCCAAGGACCTGTGTGTCCTTGACTAGCTGCAAAATCAAAGTAGTGTTGTGCTGGTTTGCTGTTGTTGAGTGGGCTGATGCGTTTGGGTTCTGGCAGACAAGAATGCCACCATCAGCTGAGACATTTGGAATCTGTCACTGAATTTGCATTGAAGGTTAGATACACTGCAAGCCTTGGGTCGGTTTTCTCTACAAGACTGTTAAGCTGCGAACAGCTCGGGGGGGGAATGAAACCCTGCAGCAGTTTCCTGTCCTGCTGCAAGGCCTCGTCTCGGCTCATGCACAGAACTGAGCTGGGGAGCTGAGCGTTTTCCCGCGCGTGCCTGGGCTGCAGTTCCTACACTTTACCACTGGGGGACCGAGTGTGAGTGCCTCCACTGACACTGATGGCCTTCAGTCGGAGCACTCCGACACAAGAGAACGGGCAAGGCCAGGGTGCTTTGTGTTGATGCAAGTGCATGAGCTGTGAAAAAAGGAGTTTCTATCATTCTGTTTACAGCAGGACTAGGTGGCTGCTACAGATATCAGATGCAGAGGCTTGAGAGTCTGAATTCTTTGCACTCCCTTGGGGTTGGGTACCGCAGCTATCAGGAAATGTGCCAACATCTGCTACTTGGGTCCTTCAGATTGTAGCTGATTCTAATATCCCAGATTCCTGCTGCCCTGCCCATGTGCAGTGAGAAGACCTGGCACATATTCAGCTGTGCAGAGAGAGCGATGCACAGTTCTGTCTCCAGTGTGTTTTTCATAAACCAAATTGTGAACACCTGGAGACGAAGTGTACTTTCACCACTCAAATTATATAATTGGTGTCACTTGTGTAATTTTCAATAAAATGTAGGAGAAACTGATGTCAACAGATTTTCGTAGCCATAAAGCGGCGACTACTGGAGTGGATTAGATTTATTCTGTTTGGAAGCATTTAAGATAAAGACCCTCTTCTATGTCATGCTGTTGCCTATTTTAAACGGGAAGACAGGTTAACTAGACAGAATCCTTTTTGCCTGTGCTGTACTGATTTATTTAAGGATTAGATCAAAACCCCACAGCAAAGCATGGCAAAATGCTGCAGTCTTTAAATGATCAGAGGCAGACAAACCTCTGATTACTTTCAGATGACATAGCAGTGTTCTGTCAACAATGAAGAGGACAGAAGCTGAAACATTAATTCGCAAACAGATCATTTTAAATTTCTTCACAGGAAAACTGGGGATGGTTCTTTTTTATCAGGGTGAATATTATTTTTCATTTCTGAATAATTGCATTCGTAAGTAAATCTCTCCAGTCTTTGCCTGTCTTAAATCCAGTACAACATTCACTGCAATGGTTAAGGTACACTTGTAAGCACAGATCACACAGTACCACCTTGTGCCCGACTATTGTAATAGCAGGGATAATCTGTCAAAGGCTGTGGTAAGGTCTTTGTACTTGCCCTGACAATCGTGGGTTCCTCAAAATGATTCACCAATAGATTTTTATAGTATCAGAATGAGCAGGCTTTCATGCAAAGTGCAACTGAGGAGAAGGCAGCAGTAGCCTTTTTTGCTTGGTAATTTTTGTCATTCAGTGTTGAGGTCCTGCTGGTAATAGTGTTGTTATAAAACATTACAGGGTAGTAAGAGATGAGAAGCAAGTCTTAGGTTTACCGTTGCTTGTGCTCTTCCTCAAAGTGTGGTAAATTGTAAAATTGTACGTGATGCAAGGACCCAAACTCTTGCACTCTTTAAGGAATCCCTGGATAAGCAGTTGTTCCTGTTGATCTGTTGCTCGATCGCGGAAGCCATCTGGACAGCTCAGCGACGGTTTCAACAGCACAGCGGACCCTCTGTTCAGTCATCTGTCTTTCTTACCGAGTGATAACGCAGGCTTTTCTGAAAAGGAACAGGTTTATGGCATCGTGCAATCCCTGCAGCCTGAATCTCTTTCATTGTGTTGAATTGTGTTTTGTTGTTTTTTTCAAGTTTAAAATGTGGAATTGTGTACAATCACATGTTTTCAAAGTGACAGACCAGTAGGTTTTTAAGGGCACCTTCAACTACTTTAGACACGGAGAACCGTTAAATATGTTGTGTTTAGAGAACAATCAAGTAATTGGCAGATGAGACCGAAGACTCTGAAAACCGCAGGAGCCTGTAGGCCTCTGGGGACAAGTGTGGTGCAGATCGTAAGCTCTGTGGCTACGCAAGCTCCAGTCGTAGAAGCACAGTACAAGTCGGGGATTTTTTTTACTATCTCCTATAAAGCAGTGGTAAAAACCCTAGCTGGCTTCAATAGAAACTCTTTAAGAAGGCCCCAAAGACAAGACAAAGAAGCCATTTTAAAGGGAAACACTGTCCTTCAGGCCAGTACATTTATTTAGTCACAATGTGGCATGATTACAGTGTGGTTGCATACTTAACTGTCAAACTGTGACTTTAACAGTGGCTGGCTGGGTGGGTGTGGTGTTTGAGAATACAAGTACGTACCAAAAGAAGTTCGTGTTTTAGGTCATAAACAGGTTTGCAGCTGCGGAATGAAAAGTATTCTCACATAAGTGAAGGAGGCATATTCTTTCATATGCTACAGCTCCTCTCCATTGCTACAGTATTTCATTTGATTAGTTTTCCAGATTTTGTGTTCCTTCTGATTAGTGTGCATTTTTGGCCACAATGATAAATGGAGACCGATTTATAAAGTTTCATGATGAATACTAGACCTGTTCAAACTGTTCTCCAATGATAGACAGAACATTCTGTAGTCACAGGCACAGAGCCCCTGTGGTAGTGTGATGAGAGCTGTGGTCAACAGCCTTCCTTTGAGAGGGATAAAGGCAAATTTGGCCTTTTCATTTATCTGCACAGTATTCCAAATGGTTATCAGTTATTTATTTGATACCAAGTACAAATCGAAGTCAGACTAGCTTCCCTGAATTAGGTTGTATAATGAAGTACGATAGTAGTATAATAGTAGTCTAGTCCTAATCTTAATCAACAACTTTTGCCAACACATACCATATAAGAATCATTAAAATAATCATTTAGTCCTGGTTTGAGCATGAATTGAAAGAGCCAAAGTTGGCAAGCTCTGCATGTGCTCTGAAGAACTCCCACTATTCTTACTGGAGATAAAAAAGTGACTGTGATGTAGGGAAACAAGTGGACATCACTGTATGTGGTATACAAATAGTACGCACCCAAGATATATTGACAGTACATAACCTTATCGTTAGCAATAACCCCCCCTGCAGAAGAATGGGTTACAGAGCGGAAAAAAGCAGTGCTACTTTACAGTGCTTGATTTACAGGATCTCAAACAGTGAACACCCCCCCTTTCACTATCACACAGGGAATGGCCTATTACACTTTCTCCCTAAGCTCTGAGCAAGACATCTCTAATTTATCTTAGAACAAAATGGTGTGAATCAAGCACAGGCAACTCTTACACTCAAGGACTGAGTTACCACAAGTATTTTAATTAGCAACTGACACAAGACCTGTCACAAAACATGTGATCGAACATTTTATTCATGTAATGACTTCCATTAAGGAGAAGTGAAATTAAATCCAAAGGACTGATGCCGCCGTCTTATGGTTTTATATAATTTATGATTTGCTGTCCAATTGTTCAATAATAATGCACTTTAGAGAACAAGACAGGATATTAAAGTTTTGACCATATCAGGCACAAAAACATAGCTCAGGAATGGTGGAAAAAAAATGTTTTTAAATGTTAAGGTGCATGTCTTTAGAAATGTGATTAGATCATCAATGGAGAGCCGTGACTTAAGTAAGCTGGAAAGCCCCTTTATGAAGGCAACTTTTGATGTACCACACAGAGCCGGTATGGTAGCACCATATTATACATGTTGATGTAAGAGCGGAACAAAGCACTGCTGTGTTTTAAATGTGCTGCAGAGACCACACTGCTGTTTCTGCGCCAGTCACGTCACGGAGGCTAAGTCCCAGTGACCTCAGGACACTGCACTGTCGGTGTTCTTAATCATTAGTCACAAGGCCTGCCTTCCCCTCACGTTGCAGGTTTCTAAACGTTTACCCTCCGAGTACAGGTTTCTTTTTGAACACCTCCCCATCTGTCTGCCGACTCCAAAAAGGCCTCTTGCATTCTGGTGCAGGTTGATTCACGGGCGATCAGATGGCATAGTGAATGGTTTCACGTATGTGTATGTATGTGCAGATATATGCAAGAGGTCCTCGTTTTCAGCAGGTTTTTATTTTATAACACTATTGTGCCACGCCCACACATATGAGCGCACAGACTGTTATAGGGCATGTTCTGCATCATGCTATTCTCTAGTGAGCCAATAGTGTTAGAAATCGTGCAGTGATCAGTGCCTGAATGTAATGCAATGAAAACATGGTTTTGTTGGTGTAGCTGCAAAACATATTCCTTTGCGTATGACTCTTTTGTGTTATTACATAAACAACTTGACCGGAGCAATAAATGGACGAATAAAGAGATCTTGTAAAAGGTTTTATTTTTTTGCATTTCCTTTCCCCTCATGTTTTTTTTTTTAAGAAATGTCTCCCCCATCCCCTCCCACACCCACGCCTGTGGAATGAACTGCAGTGAGCAGAGCTGCAGTTCTGCAGAAGGACTTATACACACGTGATGTCCACATTCTCACCCTGGACATATGAAAATGAATAACTCACTTCAGACAGGAGAGCTGGAACTGACACCCAAAGATCAGAATCGCACTGGGTTTTAAATAAAACGGCAATATTTTTTAATTTAACGAGGACAACTCATCCATCTGCAGAGTCTCGTATGAGTTGTAGAAAACGTCTAAGGGCGAACCCAAAGGAAAAAACAAAATTGCTTTTTTTCTTAGCTACTGCATAGAAAGACCCACTAAGCACAGACATATTTACAAGCTCCAAAAATAAAAATAAAAACATTTTTTGTCCGTCCCACCCTCCCCCCCACCCCCAAGAGAGAAATGTTTTCTCCGTTTTATCCAAAATAAAAATTGTACACGCAAGAGTTATGAAAATATAGGTTATTCCTGGTGCCGTTGGGTCTGGTTGCTCGTCCACGAGACTCGTGATGGTTCCGGCTGCACTCGCCTGTTGCCTGTCCTGCCCGCCGTCTCAGACTGCTGCTACAGCTCGTCCCGGTCCCTGAGGATGGTGTATCTGGTCTCGCTGGGTGCCAGCTTCTGGAAGGAGCTCTCTGGGGGGCTGCTGGGCATTTCTTTCTTCTCCTCCTGCAAATTCACCAAACCAGATTAACCGATTAGCCCCGGAGAGCGATCCCGCATGGCCCAGGAGCCCTGGTGGTGCCGCAGTCTCTGGCTGTGCTCACTGTCAGGGCTGTCACAGCAGGCGTTCCGCTGCAGGGACCCTCACACCGTGCACAGGGCTCCGATCCCACGTGGGACACGGCTGTGGTAACCTGCCCACTGCCTCACAGATTTTTTCCAACGCTTTGCTGTATAGTAAAAATTCTGGTGAGCCACATGTACAGTACCTTTTCCCTGCCCTGTACTGAAAACAGATTTAGACAGAGTTCAAATGCTGCTCTGGACAAGAATGCACTGTATAAAAATTAAAAACTGATTCAAGCTGCGAATGTAGGCAAACGGGAGCTTTAACTCATAATGAATTGGCAAACGTGGAGTGAGCACAGAGGACAAGAGGGCAGTGTGTAGTTTCCTCTCCCTGCTGTGCAGATTCAGGGTTGAGCCTGGTTTACGCCAAGTTTCCACACTGGGCACAAGAAGTCCACCCTGTACAACAGTCCTGCCAGTGGGATATTTCACCCTGGCTACCCCGAGAGTCAACTTCAGAGGAAAGTGGAGTTAAATGTCTTAAATACATGCATAGTCCTCGTCTGTCAAATGTCCTCAGGAGTGATCTTTGTACACTGTGTAAATGGCTCCGCTGGCAGTTCTGTATTCCGCACAGGGAAGTCCGAGGCCACTGAGGTAGCAGTGCAGACCTCTAGAACATTGCTTCTCCATCCTGCTCTTCTGCTGCGGCCAGTTTCTTAATCCCAGATATCCTGATTTCAATTTTATGTTTTAGGCGCGTTTTGCAAACGTCCTTTCTGCCGTGACAGAAAAACTGTTCGTGTGTTTTAGAACTTGTGTCAGCTGCTGAGTTTTGGAGCCCCTCACTCAGGTGCGACAGCTGAAATGTAACCAAATGGACCAACACAGAAGGCAAAACTAATGTTCGTAGCGAAAGCGTACGGATACATTATCATTCCCGCCTGCGTCGGTTCTGCATCCATTACTTGCCTGTTACGAGCTTTAAAGTGAAAAATAAGGGGGCAAATTGTTAATTTGAAGTTGCTGGCTATAGTATATTTTAGCTAGGGTTTTTCTGTAATCCAGGCCTAAGTGCAGAAAAAAAAAGGAAATCGGCAAGCAGATCAATTCCCAGCAGTAATTAGCACGGGTGATTAAGGGACCAGCTGGAACAGAAAGCAGCAGACACAGGGCTCCCTCAGGACCAGAGCGATCTCGGCCTTAGCCCTGTGCTTTCCTCCCTCTCTCCCAAACTCACCTGCCCCGGGGTGGTGTCTGTGGGGTCGGGTCCGTGGTGGAACTCTCGGTGCAGTTTCCCGGAGTGCAGGTCCAGAACAAACTGGCGGAGCTTACTAGGAACCCTGGGGAAAAAACGAGCAGTCAGGCCGGGGCTGCCAGGAGCCCAGCTGGGGAGCGCACCGCCCAGAGGCTGGAGCACCTCCTCATTCGCGGGAAGGGGCTTGAGAGCCGCCGACACAGCAGCGGTCTTCTGGATTCAGATCCGTCTGAGGCCTCTCATGCGGAGCGTGTGTTGAGAGCCTAGCTCTTCTACAGCACTGCATGGATATGTCCAGATGTGCTGGTGCACACCTGGCATTTTGGGCAGCTGCTGGGCTCGCGCCTCCTGCGACACACGGCTGCAGGCATCAAACAACCCATTCCCAAACGGCAGCGCCAGTCAGGCAGCGCGTATTGACGCCAGGCCTCCGACAGCTCCTCCAGAGCAGCGGTAATTGCACGCGCAGCCCTGATAAACGCAGAGGGGAAGACAATCAATTTAAATTTCATCCCCCATCATCTGCTGTCACTAGCCGCAAAGAGCCAGCGTACACAGATCTATTTTATCTAGCAAATGTCAAATGCGCTGTAATCGCCAAGATGAAAAGCACTTCCCCAGCCGGCTGAGGGAACTGAGCCGCGGGACTCTGCGCATTACCAGGTACAGGGACTGTACCGTCGCTTGAGCTGCAACAGCGCACTGCCTTGAGAAGGACCAGCATCTGTTGTGAAGACTTGGCATCATCTGGGCTTTTTGAAATAGTGGCAAAAAGAAAGAGGGAGATCCCAGCCAGAACACAACCTAGCTTGAGTGGTCCCACCATCTCAGAGCTTTGGAAACATCACTCAGGTGTTTCCCCTCAAAGAGAAAAGGAGCAGACTGGAGTCTGCGCCCAGTCCGCCATGGACAGGAGTATGGGGGGGGTGGGGGGGCTTCTGTGTTTGGAGAATAATAAACTGATGAGAGAAGGGACCTCTCACATGAAAACAATTACACATTAATTCACTAAGGTTAAACAACAGCTGAATGCAAAGCAGCACAGAAAAGAACTTCGATAAAATAACATTCTTTGACCCGTGTGTGTTATGGCCTGCAGCGGTTACTTATATATTAAGGTCAGAGCGTTTCAAATCACTTGTGCAGATTTGTAAAAATCACGATTTCCTTCACAAGTCCAGTCTTTATTAAGCACGTGGAGCCAATTTAATTGAATCCAGTGTTTACAGGGAGAACCCAAGGCAGGTAGCGCCTGGAGTTTTGGGCTCATATTGTAATGAGGGTTTAATCACTAGGTGCTCAGCACTGGAAGATAACCCTTAGGGTTGCAGTTGTGCAGCCATGATTAAAAAACCTTACCGCGCGTAGGTTTGAAATGGAAAATGCTGCTATTGCCTATTTAATTAAAAGTTTCTTTTAATTAAAAAAAAAGTATCAGATCTTGGAGCAAAGTACTTACGTCAAGTCGCTGAATTCTGGGAAGACGTACATGTGGCGGAAACTGTCGATGGCAATGACTGGACAGTCAGCTGGGGTTTTCTGAATGTGCAGCAGTGGGTGTCTGAACTTGTCACAGTCTGCGTGGAGGAAGTTAATGGAGCCTACAGCACAGACAGGAAGCAGGATAAGCAACAGGAAGTGCCACTTCATAGCATACCCTGACGTCCGTTGGATTATAGTGGACTGTGGGCATTTTCAAAAATATTCATGACCATTCACCCTGACTACACAAGTTCCACAGCGCTTTCTCCTATTATGATAGGTTTTACAAATTTATGAGACGCTTTCGGCTGAAACCAACTAGGAATATAACAGTTGTTATTCATCATTATTTTTTTCTACAAATACAAAAAGGCCCTCATGACATTTGCCGATAAAAATAGTAGCTGTAGTAGTAGAGGAGTTTAATGCCAGACGTACATGAACATTTGAATTGTTATTCATGTCGATCTCTCAGGACATACCAGTACAGCAGACGACACCACGCAATGTAGACAGTACATTAAAAAATAGTACATAATAAATTGTAACAACCAGTAACTATAAATGTTGTAGAGAACAATAGACATGTGGTGGTGAAAAGAAAAACCTCAGATTCTTGTTTTAAATAGGACTGCTGAAAGAACTCAGTAACACCCAGGAATTGAATTCTTGACACTCAGCATTTTCAGTGGATAGAGAAACTCTACAGGCTAGCTCTGTGTCAAGATTAGTACAGGGAGCACCATGGAATCATCAAGAGAGAAGAACGCCTCATTATCCGATCATTTTCCTCTAGTTTATTATGCATTTGTCTGGAAATGCAAAGCGGAATTTTTAGGCCTTTTCTCTCTGAAAGATTCCAGGTTCCCTGGAACGTCCCTGGAAAAAGAATCGGCAGCTGGTGTCGTTTAATGTGCTACACCCCTGCTCCCTCTGGCTGCTCTCTGTCCACCTCTCCCTGGAGGGGAGCACGCTGTACCTTTCTCGCTGATGAGCTGCCTCGCCACCTCCTGCTGGAACTTCTCCAAGCTCTCGTTGTCGTCCTTCATGTGGAAAAGGATGAGGAAGGGGATCCCCTCTTCTGTTAGCTCCTGGGCAGGGGGAGACAGGTCTTGTTAGCAGCCAGTTCCCACAATGCACCTGTGCCCCTGGCCCAGCCACGCTGAGTGACCGCACCAGCGATCCGTCAAACGCCCAGCCCTGCTCCCCCCAACTGCAACGCCGCAACTGCCTCTTCTCTCACACCTGGGTTGAGTCTAGCCTAATGCCACATTTTCACCTTTAACAGGGGAGCCCGTCGTGACCTACAGTATATCTTTTGAAAAAAGCCACTGGTTTGAAGAACAGTACAGAAAATGGCACTAGTCCGGGTGGTGTACTGCACATAAAACCGTCATGGCCCGAGATGGAGCGAGCCCGGCAGGCCCGAGCAGGCCCGAGCAGGCGGTGGCTGTGTTGCAGGGCTGTCTGGCTGACAGAGGGGCTGGGGGGCACGGGGCTCTCCGGTTGCTAGGCGAGGGGCCCAGCAGAGAGCCGGACTGGGATCCCAAACATGCCCCTGTGCAAACAGGGCCGGGGGCGCGGGGAGAGACTGACACGCACAGGACAAAAACTCAGCGGCCGCCCCCCGGGAACTCTCCCGGGACCCTGGGGCCAGGGCTCTGTGGGAAAAGTACACTCAGGGCCCTCCAGCCACGCCAACCGAGCCGAAATATCGGGAAGAACATTCACATGCAAATGAGCAAGTGGAAAACACTCCGCTACAAGAACTTTCAGTCAACTGAGAAGGGGCTGCCACATTTTTTTGTTTTGTCTCTGGCACTCCGCTCTGAGGGAGGAGCTGGCCAGCGACAGCGGCGCTGAGCCCAGGGTGGGGTGCTGGGAGCAGCAGTCAAGCCCGATACTTCTGCAGGCACAGACACCCTTCCAGCGGGGTCCCAGACTTCTCCCCCCTCGTGCTGGCTCGTTGCCCTGCTTCACGGAGACGTAGGCTACATTAAACCGGTCCTGGAGGGGCCGTGCAGCCATGTCTGGTTTTTGCCCCAGTGGAGTTCCTCACGGGCTGCTTGAGTTCAAATTCATTTTGATGGGCATTGCTGTGCGGATGACACTCGAATCCACGTCTGCACTAAACCCAACATGGAAGTCAGTCCTTTCCGATTTCATAGCTGATGTAAAAGAATGAATGACACACAGTTGTTGGCATTCTAATGGTGGTAAGTGCCACAGGACAGCACTGAACGCACTCAGCTGCCAAGTGCTGGCAACAAGGCCTTCCTGTGCTGGATTTTAAAATCTTAATAAGTGAACAGTCTGGTTTTGGCTCATCAGGAAGGGCAAAGACAGATGTTCCATTCAAAGCTGTTTTTCCCTTAAGTTTTGCTTCAAGATCAATAGTGACTGTTGTTTTAGCGAAGAAAAGGCACAGATAAACACCAGAAGGCCAGTCTGAGATCAATGTCCAGACGGAGGAGAAGAAAAATACCAGCAGGGTCGTCTGCAAACAGGCCAGGGGGGAGGAAACACTTGATGAAGAGCACTGCAGGCGTGTGCTGTGTGGTTCGTATTGGTGGTGAGGTATTGGGGTGCTCACTGTGAAGAGCTGCTATATAAACAAATCCTGGTGGCTGACGAACGTCGGAGGAAGGCGAAGGTGCTGTTACCTCTCCGTTCTCAAAGGTGATCTCGCGCACCAGGGGAACACATTTGTCTTGGGCCCAGGCGTACGCCAGATCGAAGTTGGTCAGGGAGCCCAGGTAGACCATGTCGGGGATGTTCTCCTGGAGCAGATTGGTGAAAGGAATAAACGAGTGAGAGTTAACGCGGGAGAGAACGGAGATAGTTTTTTTCGACAGGTGGGGGACAAATACGCCCGAAAGGTCCATCAGTGCCCTCTATGGCTCACTCTCCCGCTGGACAACATCTGCATGGGAACAGACGAGCTGCAGATCGGCTGAGATGCCCGACGGTGTTGACAAAAGGGAAAGGGAGGTTTAACCACTCACCCCCGGAGGCTTATAAATCACGTTGTCACCGCTGAACCTCTCTGGCTTTGACACGTCTCTGTTTGACAGAAAGAGAGAGGAATAAGCTGGGGGTATTGAAATCAGATCGCTCTAAGGGAGAAAGGAATAGTGGATCATTTTAAAAAGAGCAAAGCAAGCTGCCGTGGACACACCGCAGGGTCGATGGGCTGTCTGAGGTTAAGGGTTCCCTTGGAGAACACACCAGCACTCTGAAGCATGCAAGCCTCAGCCCCCCGTCATCAATGCAAAGTTCAGGGCCGAACAGAGATAAGGTGTCTTTGTCGTGTTTGATTACTAATGAACAGGTCATCAAAATAAGTACTAAGCAAAGAAATTAAAGAAGAAGCTGTCAGTTCTCTGCAGACCTAATAATTTAATTTAAACACTGTGAATGGCAGACGTAACTGGATGCAGGGAGGATGAGGGATGACTGTATCTGATGGTCTGTTAAAAGTCTAGTGGGGAAAAAAAAAACACAAAACATCTTGGAAACAAATTTAAAAAAACAATGACTGAAAGCACTTAAAAGTGACCATTGGTTGCATTTCAAATGAGTTACAGATTAGAGGAAGCCATTGGTCTTGTCTAGCCTGTTTGGTAGTTAGCAGCTAAGTGATCCAAGGGTCTCCTCCAGCTGCTTCTTTAAAGAAGCCGTGGTACCAGCTTCTGCAACATGGCTGGGTAGCTTGTTCCACGCTACCACAGCCCTTTGTGTAAAGAAGCACCTTCCTGCTCCTGGTTTAAATGCACTCCCACATAGTTCCCACTTGTCTCCTCCGGTTCCTGTTTCAAGTCTGTAATACAAGTCCGCTGGGCCTTCGAGGGTTTTGAATACTTCGTATCAAATCACCTAGTAGTCTTCTGTGTTTGACACTAATTGAGCTCATGTACAGTCAGTAACCCCTGATAACTACAACAAAATTCGAATCCATGCAACACCTTTCTAATAGAAATACACTGTATTCCAAGTACAGTTAAATCAACAGACACGAACAGGGCTGATTTCCGAATGAACCAGGGTTCAGGGCATTACTGAGGCACTATTCTTTTGACGCCTCACAGGGGTCTGGAGGCTGTGAGTTTGAAGGGTAATGCCAGGGTTCGACCTGTGAACTGCAGCAGTGTAACAGCAGGAATTAAAACCTGCGGGAAAGGGACGGTTTCAAAAGGCCGAGAATCCTAACCTCACAGAACAGCTAGACCCATGCTTGATAGAAGAGTGTCCTTCAGATGGAACATTAAGCCTAGGCTTTAACGACTGATGGTCCGATCATCAGAGTTCCCATGGCACTGTTTCTGAGAGTATGGGGTGTGACCCCAGAAAGTTCTGGCCAAAATCCATGGCTGGGCTCATCTTGTATAGTCTTGTCTCCTTAAAGTAAACCCTTTCATCGAGTTGTTTCTCACTTCTCCACATAACGTGCTGTGTAGAGAGGCTGTCCTTCAGGTGGGGGCTGCGTTTCAGAGGTGAATACACTGAGGCCCATCCTATCTGAAAAATACTCTGGGATCTTTTGGGAAAATATATACATATATTTATATAAATATATAAAAATATATACATATTTGATATGTTATTATAGACATTATTATTAGACATTATGTAATGGACATTGCATAGGTTTCCTAATCTTGTACTATTTTATTTTCCCTTACTCCTGATCTGCCTGTGTGGGTTTACTCAAAGGAAGGACGCATGAGAGTGTGAAATTATACATAGTTAATGTATATGTACATACAAGTATCCCACTCCTGTGCTGTCAGGGGTCTTATTTCCATCCTAGCACAGACACTCGAAGCACACTGCCCTGTTTCAGCCAGTGCCAGGACACCTACCCATGAGCTGCCAGGAAGACACAGTCGTCCCTTAAAATATTTGCCACCTTCTCAAATGTCCGGTAGTTATCAGAGTCCTTCAGCTCAAAGTAGCCAATGATTGTCCGTTTACTTCGCTGTAAGAAGAAAAAATAAGCATCAGGACCAACCGACGGAGAACTGCTGGCAGCTCGTGAGCTACGTCCCTGCAGTGGAGCTGGTGGTGTGTGTGAGGTGTGTGAGGTGTGTGAGGTGTGTGAGGTGTGTGAGGTGTGTGAGGTGTGTGAGG